AAAGTACATTATTCTAAGCAATGTACAGACAAAACTCTTATTTTATTTATATAGAGATTAATCTATGAGACCTTGGTCATGATTAAATGCATCAGTTGAAAGGGTTTGACCTTCTGAGTCCAAAACTGTAATTAGACCTCAAATCGGTGAAGAAATAACGGATCTATGGACTAAAAGTTTGTACTTAAAAACAACAACAAAAACTATCTTTTTAAAAAACTAGAGGGCACTCAGTAGAGCGTATACCTCCGCCACGCAACGTTGATCATATTCGGAATTAAATAAATACGACAATGTGTCGTATGTCCGTCGTTATGAGTGGGCACAAAGCATTTTCAGCAGGACAATGAGAAATATTATTCGACATATGTCCACCAAGTTTCATCAAAATCCGATCGTTTTTGCATGAATTGTAGAACAAAGAAAAATGTGAAAATTGGTCCTCATGCTAAAAGATAGGGATTTTTTATATTTTCGTGACCTTAACCTTTGACCTTTACCCCCCAAAAAATAATCACTGCTAAGTTGGGTTATTATCCAAATTTATACTAATTTTCGTCCAAATCTATTAGGCCATTTTCGACAAATCTTGGTGAGAAACACACCAACAAACTCACACACACAGGGGTCAAAACATAACCTCCGTCACCTTTGGTTGAGGAAGTAATTAGTGATTCCTTCCGCCCTTCCGATACTTTCTCCAGATCAACCAATGATTTCTCGCATGGTTTCTGTCAAGTGATATATGTCCAGAGTTTGTAAGGAGTTTTCTGTCAAGTAATGTATGTCCAGGGTTTGTAACGAGGCTTCTGTCAAGTGATATATGTCCAGAGTTTGTAAGGAGGTTTCTGTCAAGTAATGTATGTACAGGATTCGTAAGGAGGTTTCTGTCAAGTGATATATGTCCAGGGTTTGTAAGGAGGTTTCTGTCAAGTAATGTAAGTCCAGGGTTTGTAAGGAGGTTTCTGTTAAGTGATACATGTCCAGGGTTTGTAAGGAGGTTTCTGTCAAGTAATGTATGTCCTGGGTTTGTGAGGAGGTTTCTATCAAGTGATATATGTCCAGGGTTTGTAAGGAGGTTTCTATCAAGTGATATATGTCCAGGGTTTGTAAGGAGGTTTCTGTCAAGTAATGTAGGTCCAGGGTTTGTAAGTAGGTTTCTGTCAAGTGATATATGTCCAGGATTTGTAAGTAGGTTTCTGTCAAGTGATATATATGTCCAGAATTTGTAAGTAGGTTTCTGTCAAGTGATATATATCCTTGGTTTGTAAGGAGGTTTCTGTTAAGTAATATATGTCCTGGGTTTGTAAGGAGATTTCTGTCAAATAATATATGTCCTGGGTTTGTGAGGAGGTTTCTGTTAAGTAATATATGTCCTGGGTTTGTAAGGAAGTTTCTGTTAAGTGATATATGTCCACGGTTTGTAAGTAGGTTTCTGTTAAGTGATATATGTCCAGGGTTTGTAACGAGGTTTATGTCAAGTGATATATGTCCTGGGTTTGTAAGGAGATTTCTGTCAAATAATATATGTCCTGGGTTTGTAACGAGGTTTATGTCAAGTGATATATGTCCTGGGTTTGTAAGGATATACGATG